GTTTGATTCAAACCCACACCCTGGTCGTTGCTGATGTTGTAGCTCATTCTGTGTCATCTCAGAAAACACGTTTCTAGTTGATGGCATGAAGGCTTTTCTCATTGGCTCTTGTTGTAAACAGCTTTGATTGCTTTAAGTGGCCTTGCCCAATTGGAAGCGTGAGCATCACGCACTGTCGGTGTTTCGGTTGCGTGGTAGGAACAAACGCAGCATAACCTCGCACTTGTCTAAATGCAAAGCATGGAATTTTTGCCACAAGCATGATGAAACACTTTCGTTCTACGCTATACCTCGAAGTCTGCACTCAACAGCATACAGTCGGTTTCGAAACAAGAACAGCGCATTCTCGCCTAAAACCAGGACACTGAGGCTGTGGGTTCCAATCAGACACACTAACCTGCTCCAACAGGAACTACTGACAATCAATCACGGTTAGTAACATTTTGAACCAAGGCATCATTGCAAGATTCAGTGCAAAGATAGGTGTTTTTTTACAACTCAACCTGGCTTTACTCGTATCTGTGATAATGTGACTTCAAACCTTTTGCACAATGATCTTGTGGATCTTGTGAGATACATGTAAATGCGTCTTAGGAAAGTATTACTGCGGATTTTCATAAATGTCACGGAGATGCACCACAAAACCAACCCATTGGAGTTATAATTGCTTCCGAGATTTTACGGTGATGTTTCTTGCTATGTTTCCAAATCAACTGAAACATGAACGTACAGACTCACATGGTATTCATTGAATAATTATTTCATTTAAAGGAGGCGCTTTGCGAGACCAAAGCTTGTTTGATCAAAGGAAAAGTGCGTCATGTGAATGCAGTTAGCAATGATCTGTGATTGTTAGCAGACGGAGGGGAAGCAAACCGAACAAGGGCGCATATCTGTGGATGTTCTTTAGACGGATTAACCTTACTTTGATTTGTGGCATTGATTCTCACCGACGCTGAATATGCTGCACTTTTTATGTGATCAGTTTGCTTGCGCATGCACCAGCAAATAGATACCCAGTTATCTGTCTGCTATGAATGCAGAGCGACAATTGCACCCAACGTTACGTGCTATATGAATATTGTGAATTTTTTTCCATGGCTGACCTTTCGATTCAACAACGAGTAGCTTTATGTGCCTTTGCACTTGTGACAGACTCGAGTATACTCTGGGCTAATCGACACTGACGTTAACCACCGGTAATGCAACTCTTTGTTCTAAATGGATTTGCCTGTTGTGGCACTGATTGGATTGGTGTGTCCGGCTAAATACATTACGGGCGCCGATAGTACACAATTACAGAAGGTTGCATGGACCAAAACCATCACGTTTGCTCCCGAGACGTATTTGGTCCTACCCAGTTCCTGCAATAGACTTTGCTGCTTTTCAAGTTAGTTTCTCTCTGTAATTCAGCAAAAACTTACTTAAAGTGTCTCCACGTCAACTACGTTCGGCGTATAGCTTGACGATCAACTACCTCCAGTAAATCCACCGATAATATCCCAAATTGCCATTGCGCCAACCACAAAGTAATTTATTGAAATGTCATAGCTGGCTATTCACCAACCTCGGCACTACATTACTTTCATCTCCAACACCACTATTGCCTTCGTGGCTGATGGTTAAACAATTGATGCAACTATCTTTATCAGTATGGCGTCCTGTTGAATTAATTACAGTAGTCAGAAATTCAACTCAGTTTGAAGAAGCACGTCTGGATTTCGGTGTTTCACGTCATCGAAAAGCATTCATTTGTGTGAGATTGTTGGGTTTTGTTAAATAGTGCATGTAAGAAAGTTGTGAGGGATGCGCAGTATTGAGAAGTGCAGATAAAAATGTGTAAAGTTATGAATGCAGACGCTAGTCTCAGCCAATGACAATGTTGATATCTGATCTTAATCCCAACCAAAAACAATGAAAAGTTATATTAACGTGATCCGACGAGGTAACTGGCTACAATCGTGAGTTCTCGTGCCACGCATGATGCATGCGTATGTGCGTATGCGTGCGTGAGCGTGGTGGCAGTGTTGCAGTGAATCGTGTTGCTTCACACCCACCAGCTCTGTCGCTGCAAATACGCATGCCTTAGCAATGACAAAATCACCATTAGCAACATGTTGCTGGCAGGAAGATCAACATGTTCATGTAGCTTGTTGTGGCATTCTACGATTCCTTTGCGTTCCTTATCCGTCCGTACCTCAGCTGACACATGCCACGTCAAAATTAGTACACAGAGAAGCTTCAGCATAACGCCTACAATTGTTCGCTGAAACCTCAAAAGTGGTAGATTTACCTGACATTGGACAATGATCCAACCACGTGACAAGTTGGAAAGTTGATGCAGCCTAAATGTGAGTTTTCCAGTCACAATTTATTTAGTCACAGGTCGTTGTAGCAGACGAATACACTTTGATTGATTGGTTCGTCACACTACGTTTGCTAGAATGAGATTTGGTCACTTTAAAAGTAAAGTTTTGGAACGAGGAGCGTGAAGTGGACCTGTGACGAGATAGTGAGCAGTTCTGCCTAAACAAGCTTTCATGTCTTCTCCCTCTGGAACTCTTGATTTTCAAAGCATCGATTGATGCTTTAGCGTTGCCTGAGAAGTTCTCAAATATGTCAGGTCTTGTGCACTCGTTGAGAAATGAGGAAGCATTCGATTGTCTCTGAAGACCTTGGCTATGTTTGGAGACGTGGTTTTCGATTTAAGTATCGGAGCAAGAATTAGTTGGATATGGCTTCAAAGTCAACTGTAGGAAAATCCTTTTGAAAAATTGCCTTGCAAAATTTCGTCATTGTATATTGGAAGCATGTTTATCAGGAGCTATGTCAGCTTAATTTTACTCAAGACATTGCGAGACATGAGCCTTTTAGTGCACTTCGATGTCGTAAGCTGCGTACGCTCAATAATAGCCGTTTTTAACTGGGCGTAAAAAGAGTCGTTGTCGGGGAGAAGCCGCACTTTTGACACCTCTTTGGCCAGCTCGCTTCTCGAAGTAGATATCAAGGTAAAGCATTTCGTCTGTTGCCTTGCAGAGATGACTCCACAAAATTACGTTTTCCCGAACAGCATACCTGCTTGGAGCAATATTTGGTTTGAATGGGAGCTGCATTAGGCTGATTGCTTCCAAGGCCATAATAGGTTGGCTTTTTTGATGGACCATATCGAGGTCGCCAATGTACAGTTCAACGTGTACTACGCAGACATGAGCATATTCGCTGTTGCGTCAAAATGCATAACCAGAGTACCAATTCAATTCCAATTTCCAAAGATTGTGCTTAATGAGACCAATCAAGTCAATGTGCTTCATGGTTTACTTGATTCTTCAATTCGCTTACACATTTGGTAGGACTGAAGCATTGCCGCATTTATGCACTCCACTTGTCAATTCCCAGTGCTCTCACAGAGGCATGTATTGTCAATTTTTCACACATTCACATATACACAGGAGAGTGTACGCTTCTCGTTACATCGTCCATGATGTTATACACTTGTTCAAATTTGCAGCCTTGTTTTCTTTTAAACATAATTCGCCTTATTATCCCCTCACACCCCACACACATGCACATTTGCGTTTATGACAACATACTTTTTCAAGCAGTATGCACACATTTGTCTCTTTGGGATGTAACCACTTCAAACACCGTGTACAGTATCATTGTTAACCCTCGCAACATGACGTCTGCTGGAACGATGATGGGTCTGGCACTGCTTCTCCAGAAATCACGAGGCCAATAAGTTGCGTTTCAAGTGGTGCAGCCTGATCAGTATTTCGCAGGCATATGCTTGGCGACACGCTATTCTAGGCAACGCCTCATTCTCGAAACAGCATCTCAATCTGCAATGGCACAAACAAATAAGACCCTAGTCTGGTTACTCGAAACTGCCTTCACAAAACAATCGGATAACAGGTATATGTGAAAAGAGCTTGTCATCGCCTCAAAAAATATCCCCACAGGACAATGGCCTGGCCCGACGCAAAAGGAAGCATTCAGTAAGTACAACGTGATACTTAAAAATTAGCACTTGGCGCGAGGTACCAAGTACTTTAGTTGATTCAAGATCAACATGTATCTCTCAGGGACAACCCACTACAATCACGAGAATTATGATCTGGTGCTGTAAAATGTGCAAACGGTACAATGTGCACATCGAAATGTACCCTGCTTGCCTGCCTACCTCTGCGCCTGTTTAAGGACACAAATGTGCACTGCAAATAGCTTCACCAAGTGGTATCATGAATAGTGTTACACTAAATGTCAAACACGTGCGTTAAATCGAAGTCACCGTGACTAATGCTTCAATAATGCAAATGATCAAATTGGGCAGACGGTTCAATCCACTTAAGCACTAAGCAAAATGCAGTGCACCAATGCGTCATTGTGTAGGTGCGCAAACAATTTGCAAATGCCGGACCTCGAAATGGCGCGTTGAACCTTTGCATTGTGCATGAAATGGATTTGGCCTTGGTCTAGGCACTGGCTGGCCAAAATGCGATGCACATAGGGATTTTCTCTCTGCCTAGCTGAATGCAAATTATGGTAAAAGTGACGCCGCTTTTCAAAGTGTCCCATGGTTGTCCGCTGTAATCTAACGCTAGCACTTCGTGAAATGAGGGAAAAGTCAATGTGGCGCAGATTGTGAGCACATACACACGAGAGTGCAATTAGGCTACTGCATCTACTTACGCCAATTTGTATCAACTGCTACATGCAAAAATACGGCGATGGCGAAAATGACTTGTTTGATAGAAGAGGTGGGGCCATTGATTATAAACCCAAATGTGCACACTACTGGCCATGTCAACGTCCAGCCTTAAAGCTCACGTGTGTCAAATTTCGTGCAATTTAGCCTAGCACTATTAATTGATTCTTTGACAACATTACCAGCAGTTTCGTTTGCCCTGAGCGCAGACCTCAAAAGCGAGGAGGACCGTGCGTAGCTGCGTAATCTTGGCTAGTACATAGGAGTATTCATACTCGCACGTAAGCGACCATTTATGCACGAAGGCCTCAACGGGAAGGACCTCCTGTATAAGGTGTTCCTCTATTACGTCCTAGCCACCTCCTGTATTTCGCCTTTCGTCTCACAGGTGCTTCGTGGTGCTGGTGCTGGCATCGCTTTTCGGCCACCCAGTCAATGGACAATTGCTTCACTGCGCGTCCTTCGCCAAATGCACCTCATGCGTAATGCGAGTGTCCAAGTAAAGGTTCTGGTATGTTTCTGCTTTTGCGAATTTCCGCTTATTTCTCAGATCCTGCATTTGTAAATCGCTTCTATTTAGTATAAGCATATACATTCAACTCACTCACAATCCTCGTAATATACTGAATAATTCTTTAAAACCATCAAAATTTGGCTTGGGGACTACCTCAGAGCCATGAAACTTACACTGACAATGGCCGAGTTGGAATTAGAGAAGACAGTGTGTGATGTGCAGGTCAGTGGATGCTTCTTGTGATCAGTAGAATGGTTATGCAACGAAATAAGTTGTCAGTTTATGTAGGATCAGTTAAAATTGATCTCTGAGCGAATGCAGCTCCGTGAAGTGTACTAAAGTTAGTCGTCTAAATTCGTATGTGCTCACTCATGCTAGCAGAGTTGGCTTAGCCATTGCTTTAAAACCAGTAGACATTTCACATGTCGCCAAGCCGAGAGTGCCACCTGAAGCTTAGTTTTTCGTTCCTGGCCTAAGTCTGAGATACTTGGCATTGAACATATTTTTTCGCATATTTATAATCAAGGCTGTGGGTGGCACGATGTGACGTCGTTGGCACTGGTGGTGGTGATACATTACCTCAGCTCCTCATATCGTGAGTAGTGTCTATAATCGCAAGATGGACTATTAACAGGAACGTCGCACTATGCGGCCAAACATGGGATGGATTGGGATATGGCCGTTCCGCCCTGCTACTAAAAGGATGATTTCGGTTATCCCGCAAACGTTTTCCCAATTCACTACCAGTAAGCTTGCACCACTGACACTGACACTTGCGTCTTTCATCATTTCCTGCAGCAGTAGCAGCAGCAACTGGGATGGTCTCGCCTACTACAGGCTGCGTGGAAGGTGTGCAATTTGAGCTGTATATCACCATGCTGCTAAGATTATCCTAGTAGCACGTATTGTATAGTTGAACGTGAATCGCCTACTTGTCACGTTGTTGCTATGTCACCTGCACCGGTAAACGACTTTAGACATTTACTTCATCTCTGAAAAATCGGCAAATTCCTATTACATTGCTATCAGTGCCTGTATCAGAGATACACAACCCCAAGGAGAGGTGCCGAGCAGTGTATCCTTTCGCAAGCAAAATCTTTTTGTGACGCTGAACGATATGCGTGACGAATGTCTCGACTGGTGCATTCTGCGACAGTACTCCAGGATGGTGCAATGTGTAGTGGTCCAGAGGTCGGTACACTCAAGACTTCCACACATCCACATTCCCGTTTTGGCCCTTCCACCCCACGACAGACAGAATTCGACGTCGGATAATTCAGCAAAAATCTAAAAAGAGCAGAAGACGGGGCTTCTTCTGATATTGGCACTTGGTCAGGTTATGCCCAAACATGCAGCTTAGCTGCCAACAATGCACCGTCATGAGCAAACCGGAGGAGTACTGCCGATCAACTTCATCCAGCAAAGAAAAGCAACGTTGCTGCCTTCTAAAATATCTTAGGCTGCATCCTAAGTTAGCCTGTCCTTCCTTTACCTCCCCTAGTATATTGGACGCCTCCGAGAAAAGTTGTCGTCAACAGTGAATGCATACAATCATCCTATTCAGTAGCTGCCATTTTCGTCTGCAGCCAGGAATGGCTTTAGACCCTGTCATCATCTCGGAGAAACAACGGCGCCTCCTCGGTCGGCCTTACGGAAGACCGACCTACCAAACTGCTATAACTGTCTATGACAAAGATATATAATTCTAAGGCGAAGTGCTGTGCAGTGTCTCCTTTTGCTGCACAGCGTTCTATGCCCCCTTCTAGAACTGGATATGATCGATTAATTAAGGGTTCAACGATATCCTGATCAACTCTATTTGCAATAACTCACAAGCTTTACAGTTTCCTATCAACAGCAAATCAACCACCTCATAGGAGGTCGTCATAGTTGCTGTATTGATCAGGAACAGTTTCACTTAACGACAACCACACGTATCCCGCGCTTTTTCAGTCTCAGTCAGTGACATCTAACGGAAGACCATGGTAGACAGCACACTGCAGCATGCCCTCCGCTGTCCAATTAGAGGGTCTAAATGTTCTCTCACCGGAGACCTCTGCTGCTATATCAGTAACACGAGTCCCTATTTGTTGCAGACGGCTTTTGGGTGTTCAGAGAACGCGTCATCATGCCCAAATGTGTTTGCTCACTGGTCCTTTCCTTAGTACACTCTGGGCACTGCAGCATCGGCCAAACGAAGTTTAAAGCATGCAGCTTTGCCTACTGGTCACTCATTGACAAACAAATCACATATCTCGTCGAGGGTTGGCGTTAATGCCATCAGGCCACCATGATTCCCTCGAGGACCAATGAAGCTACTAGCCCCGAAAACGGAGGCAAATAAGGCCTCCACGAACGGAATCAACTACGTCATTTAATGTTAGAACGCTCTTGTGAGCACCTGAGTAACGTCATGGACGTGACCTATTAATCAAAGTAACGATCACTCTGTAGGGATTTGTGTTGATTCATGTCCAATAAACCAGTCCTCGCAGCTTCCAGCACACGTCCCCCCTTTTCACGACCTGCCCGTCAGTCACGTGACGCCAGTGGGTTATTAACCGTTGTGCATGTCCCACCAACACCGTTTTAGTCATGTGACCTCACAGACACTTCTGTTTATCTTTGTTCATGTCCACCCAACCGTCATTGAACACGACACAACTGGATTGAGCTGTCTAGTAAGCTGTTGTGCCTTCTCCACTCCGGTCTTCTTTTTTTTCGCTGGAACACAGGGTAACGTATTCGGCCTACGTTGTCGCAGTGGCCCCGCCGTTGATCTAGGCAACATGCCGGGGTCCTCAGCAACTCATTGAGGCAGAACAGTCATCTGCCACGTAAATGTGGGTCACTACACGTAGATGAGACATCGAATCGAACTCAGCTGAAGATGATGCCTGGAGATACCAAATCCACAGGCAGGTAGTTCACAGGAATTGCTGGTCAACAAAGGTCAACAGTCGACACTAACGGCGAACTCACCAGAATACCGAAAGACAGATCGAATCAAGGTGGGTGAGCTGACGCCAACAATCTTCTTCGATGTATGATCTGTTGGGGATTCAGCATTCCCTATGACTTCTCTTCACGGGTTGGGATTCCGTCATTGTACATCCTGCAGTACAAATGGATACAAAGCAAACTAATTTGTTTCTTAATGTTGCATCATAATAATTTAATTGGCTGCCTAATTGCCAGTTGGACTAAAATGTTGATCGATAGGAAAAAAATTGCACAGAATCTTACAAATGCATAGCAATCAGATGATACCTTTTTAAAGGGCCTGCTAGTCGAAGAAAATATCGCTGAGCCACAGTTTTCATGTCAAAAGTTATTATAATTGAGCAAGAGTTCCAGCATATTCGACTGTCGTTCCTGTGGTCCACAACAATGCGACCTTTTAATGTTGTCTGCGAGAGTTTTTAAAATGCCAGTGTTTGTCTTTCTCAACCCTACTTGTTTGCAGAGCGACATTTTAGGAAATATTCTTGCCTTGCTGCTTCCGTTCACTGCAACGACAACCACAACCGTCTTCCATGTGGTCATTTCGTTTACCGCCAGCGCTGGTCGAAGCAAATGTCGGTGAATCGCAGTTTCCTCAGTAATGGTATATGCATTTGCGGATGAGTTTTAACATATGCCGCTGTATTTGCAGAGACCGATAACGGTGCGACCTTCTAATGAAGTAATTAAGAGTGTATTTATAAACGCCCATGTTGGCTTGTCCCAATCTTACTTGTTTACAGGGCGTGATTTGATGTTGCTGTCGCCATACAACTCTCATAAACCCATTTTCGTGTGCCGATATATCAGTCTCGTTGTATTTTTTTTTCTTTTTGCGTAATTTGATATTGCTCTCTCCTTGCAACTTTGATAAACCTTTTTTCCTCGTTGTGCACTGACAACCACCCGTGACTGTTTTGTCTCAATCCTACTTATTACCAGGGCGTGATCCTGTGCAGGGTTCTCTGTGTAATTTCAAAAAAAACCTGAATATTGTGACTGTTATTCAGTCTCGCTGCAGCTTCGCTCTTTGCGATCATGTTCATTTGCTTGCCCATGTCTGGTCTATGTAGATTTGCTGAGGTATATTTAGACCGCAACGTTGCGAATTTTCCAAAAATTCCCTAGACCACATGCATTGACGTAATTTGATATATTCTTGCCAATTGTGTTTTCACAATAAGAGCAATTTTCTGGCTAATTTGATGCATGTTTAGACCGAAAAAGGCGCCTGTAGATTCGGTCTGTGTTATACCAAATCTCTTTTAACTCCATTTGCAATACGTTGAGGAAGGCATGAGGCAAGGCCTTAACACAAGGAATCTGACCTCAAGCAAGACAAAGTAACTAGCTTTGGATTTTTAGCAGCGAATTTAGTATTACTTTACGCGAATGTAACACATTCAGAGAAACGTGGACATTGAATGATGCAAAGTAAGACGACAACAACACGAGGGTGGCAGTAGCTGTTATTTGCTTCCGCATTTGATTGCAGAGTATTAACTAAGGCGCACAACCCACTAAAGGCTTTAAATCATGCAACCAATTATTACCGACTACCCACATTTGCCAGAGGGAATGTCTTATTATTGTCAGAAATATTCTGCTTAGCTCTGTTCACAACAAATTTCCTTCAATTTGACCCAATCACATTCTAGGAAAAGAGGAGTCATGAACCATACAAAGAAAGTACATTTGTCTGCCACTACAATCTGCGAAAATATAAATTGTGACCGCAAATCTCACATTCAGGCTGCATCAACTTCCCCATTTGTCGTGTGGTTGGATCAACACCCAATGCCAGGTAAATCTGCCAGTTCTCTTGTTCCAGCATAGAATTGTAAGCCTCACGCTGAAGCTTCTCTGTCCGCTAATTTTGACGTGGCCTGTGTTAGCCGAGGTGCCGACGGACGAGGAACGCAAAACAATCCTAGAATGCCACACCAAACTGCGTGAACATGTAAATCCCCTGCCAGTAACATGATGCTAATGGTAAGTTCGTCATTGCAAACGCACAAGTATTTGAAGTACTTGAACCACGATTTAAC